TATATATATATATATTATTTACACATGTTTACACATACGCATACACACACACATGTATGCATGCATATATGCATGTTCATGTACGGGCATCCTCATCGCTGCGTTGGTGCATTCAGTATGCAAAGATGCATGCGTACGTACGTATGTACGTGTGATTTTTGATGTCCAGATTTGGGAAGCGTCGGCCGCTGCTGCCGACTTGGAAGAGCACTCCAGCCGTGGCGCTCTTTGAAAGCCTGGTAGCCGGTGTTCCGGAAGGCACGCCGCTCTTCAGGCGACTGAGCTGTAACCTTCCAGCTTGAATCGGTCTGTAACTGGGGTCGGATTTGCTTTGCTTGCTCTCAGAACAGGCATCCAATACTCCCACCGGATGTGCAGCACAAAGACCTTCGACGAAACTGCCCGGACACGTCCGCGCATGTGCGCCCTCGGCTCACGGCAGATGATGCTGCCCGGTATTTTCGCTTTATAGTATTTGCACCACGTGCTTGCTCCACGTGTTGACATTCGTTCCGGCCTTTAATCAAGGTTAAGGAGCTGCCGCTTTCCGAGAATGCAGCACTTCACCGGCAGCTGAGTTGAAGTTATGAAAAGAGTGAGGATTGTCTTACACGGTTTCAACTTGATGTCTAGACTTCGGCCTCGCAAAGCGAACTGATGCGAATTTCCTGTGCGACAGTTTAAGCTTGAAAACCGCTCAGGACTTTCCCTCCCGTGAAGAAGGTCCACGAACCGTCCACTCTAGGATTTTTGAATGTTAGCATCAGTTAGTTGATCGGAATTGACAGCGTTGATGCCTGTAGTATGGATATGTTTCACTCAAGAGCAGCCAAATTTGGGATGCCTTACTCGGCATCTGCAGCTAGTATTGTCTCCATGCAGTAGCCCGCAGCTTGTCGTTGTCCAAGGTACCTTGTTGAGTTGTGGGACGACGTGCGCATCAAGAACGAGGGACAAGCAGCCTTTGCAAACCCAACTCGTGTCCAGCGAAGTCTGTTGATGGGAAGCGGAGAGTACATGGTGGTTTCCTTGGTCAATAATCGCTTTTGCTTCAAGAAGGGTGCATCCCACAAGTCTAACGGCATCTATTTGGTGATCAACCAGAAGCGCTGGGTGGTGTATCAGAAATGCCATGATGCTGCCGACTGTCCAGACTTCCGCTCGCACGAGTTTTCATTGCCCGAGGCCGGAGATTTTTAAATGCATGTACAGGCTGCTTGATGTGTTTGTGTTTGTGAGCCTGAGGCCTTGCGTCCTGAGGGGGCCGTGCCAGAGGATGCTTTTGAAAACGGGGCAGTGGACGAAGACCATGATCCGGTGTCGCAGGACATGTGCCCGACGTCCACGTTTGCCAGCCTGCTAGCCTTTGGTCAAGCGCTTCTGGGAGGAATTGCTGACGCAGATAATGGCAACTCCGCCGCCCTTGCCTGACGAGCTCCTGACCCCTCCAAGGCTTCCGTGCTACAGCAGGCGCCTGCCATTCTTAGGTTAGTGTTGGGAGTTTGCGGTAGTACGTTGGAGGCTGCCTTCGAGATCTCGAAGCCCATGCCGGGCGCTGTGCAGGCTGAGGAGGACCGGCTTGGGGCAAAAGCCAAGAAGGCCACTCGCATTTTGAGATTGCAGCATCGATTTGGGTTTGCTGTGCGCGTCAGCGCACGCCAGGTCGTTGCAGCCTTGCTTGGGGCAATCTCAGCCGGAGCTCAGCTTCTGAACCGCAGATAGTGAATGCGTCTGGAAAGGGCCGGTTCATTCTGTCGCACTGAGGCGACACGAGTCCTACAACCCCACCGTGCATTTTGTGAATCTTTGCAGAAGTTACCCGAAAAGGTTCCACATCAGATAGGTCAGATAGGTATGGCAGGACTCTGCAAAGCATCACTGTACTGAAATCAGAGAAAGCCCCGGTCGAACTTCTGCAAAATGTATGTAGGTGTTCCGACTGACTAATGTCTCGCAAGGCTCACTTGTACAGCATGCCTGCCGAATAACTGGCAGACTCGACGGCTCTTGACCCGAAACATGGTGGTGCAGCTTTCTGTGGCGTGTGCTTGGCCATGCGTCCGGTTGTGGTTTCTTGGCATGGATCCATTTTTCAGGCCGGCACCCGCAAAGCAGCCCGATTCCAGCGGGCTGTCAGGCAACTCATATGCAGAAGCCCGTTAACAGGTTTTTGGCAGCATGTCGAACCATGCAAAGGTCTTGCAACTCTGCACCCCATGCCCCAGATATCTCTGAACAATTCATCCAAAGGCTGTTTCGATTTCACCAAGTTTCGCGAGACGAAGCCGTGGGAATTGGAGGCCCGGGAGCTTTCTGTAATCACCAGTGTACCGCGCAGTGTACCATCGAACCTGCCGACGAGGTCGGAAAAAGACAAAGGTACATTCGCTTGTACGCAATGGCCTCAGATGTGCGCAGACCCGTGGCACCAGACGTCGATACTGCTGGGATGTTCCGGACCCGGCTGCCCCACTGTAGGTGCTTTGTTCAAGAACCTCTTACAAGACCTGTGCTGGGACAGCTCTGGTGCATGCGGCTGAGATGATTGGCTGATGCATGTGCCTGGCGAAGTAGAAGTGCCTGAGGACCGACCTTCTTCCATCGTCACCTCCAGGGTGCTGGCCATCCTCCCAGTCTCCTTGCAGAGACTCGACATTCCCCGTTCACCGTCTATCACCGTCTGCCCGGCCAGGTGCACGACCCGCGAACTCCTCCTGTGGTGAGGATAGAGCCCAAGGTGCCAGACCATGTGGAACAACCAATCAACTTCGCGAGTTCGTGTGAGCATGCAGGTTCCTCCTGATTGCCATCGAATGCGCTTCAACGCAGCCCTAGGCCATTGCAAGTGATCATAGACGGCGAGAGCTACCCAAGAAGTCATTTTGCTGATTCAGGCTGGAGATGGCACAGATTCACGCTGTCGCCGGGTAAGGCCTTCCTAGTCATTTTGCATCCTCCAGGTGCCCGTGTCTGCCTGCCCCTCCAGGTCCAGATCCTTGTTCAAGGTCCCATTCTTGTATCGCAGGCTGGTGAAAAGCTGGCTGCCCAAAGCACACACGCTCACTTGGTCGATTTTGCAGACTTCTGGTGCTGGTCGATGCCGCAGCGGGGCTCCGTCGCGCAGCCTCCAAGAGGTCGAGTCCGGCGTGCTCCGAACTGGAGATAAGCTTGCAGAGCAGGCACAGCTGCATGGCGACACGGTAAACCAGCCGTAGCTAACTCAGTCACTCGAGGCATGCAAGCTGGCTTTATGTGTTTAAAGTTTCGGCCGAGGCCGAAGTTCATTATCCCCACCAATGACGGAGAAGATGGAGTTGGCCCTTATTGTCTCAGTGCGTGTGCAGCACACACTTTCTGCACTCGTCAGCTAGCTACCGCGGTGTTGGACAGCAGATGTCCTGAGCCGATGCAAAGCACAACGGATTAAAGCCAAGGCAACCGCAGACAACGCGAATGTAAGATATTTTCCAAGGAGGCTTCAGGCTCATCGCGTTTGGCTTATCTCGGGTCAGCTGCTACGCTTGCGCATACGAGTCGGGCGGTCGTTTCGTGCGAAGCTCCAGGGCCACCCTGTGTATCCCTGTGTGCTGCTGAATGCAGTGCATCGCAGCATTGTGTGCAAGCGCTTGTGCCACCTGCATGTTTGCCCATGTCACATTCGTGTCAGATTCACGGGTGCTCAGGTTGAAGTCAAGGCAAAGCCGCGTGCTCAGCCGGAACGCGACGATTTCGGCTTTTGATGTGGGCACTTTTTTCGAAACGTGGCGAGCCGAAAGGCCATGGCACGAAGTTCAAGTCCAATATGCTCTGCTCAAGCCTTACTGGCAGCCGAGAGTCGAAGACGCGTGATTCCTCAGCTGGCTTTCCAGGACCGATCTGGGTCGGCCGGATGGCCTGCTGCCCAACAGTCGGCAGTCTGTTTGGTTTGGTTCTCCTGTTTGTAGTTTGCATCAGCTCGGGTTAAGCAAGGGAGGCAGGCGCCGTGAAGGCCAAAGAAGACTTCGAAGCAAATTCAAGTCCTTCCAAAAAAGCTCGCCAAGGGCACAGGATCTCAGCAAAAGTTATTTGGAAAAGTTATAAGCGTTGTATGAGGTATGGTGTCCGAAGGCCACCCATGCCCGAACCCAGTCTGAGACGGCTAGATGAGGCTTTGAAGTCTGCCCATGGCTTGACCAGTCAGTTTAAGCGAGACAAGGCGAACCTAAGCCAAGTCTTGCCAGGATCATACGGATGGATGGTGATTGATTCTAGACTCCCGAATCGCTTCATCAATTCTTGCCCCTGTCTGGCGCCGGACCCTGAACAGGATGGAAATTGAGCCTCGACAAAACGAAAAGCAGACTGAACCCGCTTTGGCAAACGGAGTTTGAGGGAGGAGGTCCATGCAGACTTGTGCAGATCGACACAGGCAGCACCGGCGGCTTCTATGGCCTGATGAGACGAACGCGATTCATCAAACTGGAGGTGCTGCAGGCATGCCCTCCTGAGTTTGAGCTGGTTGACCTGTGTTCCAGGTCTTGCGGAGGTTGTTCGCAGAGGATCCTGATGGAGTGTATCGTCCAGGGCTGGAAGGCCGGTCACGACCGGTTGCTGCTTTCGATCCCGGAGCTACGCATGGGAGAGGTGATTTTCGAGACGAGACCCTGACACAGCCCTTGCACAATGCATTAGCGCCAGGTCCCTGCAAACCCTGGAGCAAACTCCACCAGAAGTGCTGCATTGACACCTAGGTCTTTGGAATCTGCTCCCAGACCGCCAGGATGGAACCCAGGTTTGCACGGCTTTTCGCGAGTGCACATGGGCGTGTTTCCCACAGATCCCGCTGCGTGAGATGCTGGGGTCCTGGCTTGTAGGGGGTTGGGGCACGGACTTGTCAGGCGATGATGCAGATCTGCATGTGCTGGAGGCAGATTCCACAATGCGGACGCTGGGCCCTCAAAGCTGCAGCTTCAGCAACTGCGGTCTTCGCGCGGTTTGGCAACTGAGGCGTATGTTGCTTCAGTATGAGAAGAACGAACTCAAGCGTGTGCTGCCCTCAAAAGGAAGTGGGAAGCAAGACGACGAAGCACAAGACTTGACGGCCTGAGGACATTCTGTTTCTGATGGGCCGTCGGCCACTCACGAATGGACTCAGTGCTGTGCTGCAGCGACAGCCATAGGCCCTTTGTCTTTGTGTTTTCAGGCTTTGAACAGCGTGAGGGTCGTCTTCAAGTTCCGGCCGAAGCTCCAGAGCTCCAGTCGATTTCCGCTCACACTTTGCTGACAAGTTGCACCTCTCAAGGGAAACAACGCTTCCGATGACATCCTGGTGGTGACCCAAGTCCGGATGTGGTTCTTTCTGACACATGCGCTTGGCTTGGGACACAACACTTCATCATTTCCTAGATGGTATACTCACCACTATACAACATGCGGAGCCTCCCGTACGGAGACGGGTTTCATCGAGCCCCATTGTGCAATGGCGAGGTCGAGACCATGACAGTGCAGGAGGCCATGTCAAGATGTCACACATTGCGTGGTCCTGAGTTTTGCGGCTTCATGTTGTGTGCGCAAGCAGGCGTTGGTTTCGAGAAGCGAAGAACCGTCGAAAATCGAAAAGTCGAAATGTCGAGAAGATTTTGACTTTTCGGCTTTGCGACTGCTTTTAGTGATCTGGGCGCTTCTCGAACTTTTCGGTAGTTTTCGGGTCTGTCGGCTGTTCCACTTTTGGCGTTTTTCGGTGCTTTTCGTTCTTTTCGGTCATTGTCGGTGTTTTTCGTTTGTTCGTGTTCTTCTGCTCTTTTCCATTTGTAGGGTTTTTTGCTTTTCATTTTTTCGTGTTTTCGCTTGTCGGATCCGAGGCAGCTAAGTCATTCAACGACTAGCCAGCGAGAGACGCGTCGGGGACGGTCCGGGAGTCAGAGGTGCGCGTCCGCAGCTGATGCAAAACGAGCAATTGAACTCGGAGCCTGCGCTTGCGGTGATTCAGCCATGACAGCCTGTCGGGTCAGTCTGGAAGAACCCACCAAACCCGAAGCAGTGCAAGTGAGGTGTGTGGGAAGCACGTCCAAACTCCGAGACCCCGGACCATTCAACAATGATCTTACAAATCGAAAACCTGCGGGGGGGGGGGGGGGAAGGGGGAGGGCTTTACCACATGGAGGCCTCTGGCCTCAGGATAATAAGCTTGTGTTTCACTGTCACTAGTCGTGCAGTAGTTTTCAGCAGACTCGAGCTTGTTAACAGTTAACAGCCCCCACCAGATGGCAAGCTTCGGGTTCCGACCAAAGCAACCAGTAAGTAACCAAAGCATACGTAGGTATTTTGGCCGAGTCTTGGGTTTGGTGCGCTCTTTCCAGATGTTTGAACATGTATTGACTTGTCCAACGAACATTGAAGTAGCCAAAGCATGTGGAGTTTTGTTCTGTTGTTCGGGCCTTTGGAGCCAGTGATTTGTCCATGTTGGTTGGGCCCAGATCAATGAAAATGAAGGAGGCTTTTGGTGGATGTTTCCCCAATAAGTTTTGGGCGTTTGTGTCCGAAAGCACCAGGCAGTACCAGGACGCAGGCATTTTGGCCTATGTTTGGGGTTTGGGGAACCAGCCAGTAGCCTGGTGCGAGCCAAATTGGAAGCATCTCCAAAAACACCCGAGATAAACGAAAGCATTGGCACAGGTTTCTTGGTTGGGGCACCCTCAGTGGAAATGTTCAATGACTTTTGGCCGTTGCGTGGGTTCTGCAAGAGGCAACAGTGTGGACATTTGGAATTTGGTTGATTTTTGAACCATTTTGGGTGAAACCCAAGCATCGACTTTTCGTAGCCCTTCTTGCCTTCTCGAAAGTTTTAGTCTTTAGTGTTTTCCATTTTTTCGTGCAGTTTTTTACCCAATCCTCTTTTGGACTTTGCGCGTGTTGGCCTTTCGCGTGCAGTTGTCCATGCCCACAGCCATTCACAAATACAGGGGGGTACCGTCGGATGGATCCGGACGTCCGAGGCGTGGCTGCTCTGGATTCTGTTTTCAAGGCACTGGGCTGGGTCTCTTCGTGCCGAACCTCGAAGCAGAAGACACGATGCTCAGGTGACATGACGGAGTCCGCCGTGAAAATTCACTTCAAAGGCAGCGTAGAACAATGCACTGCAGGATGCCAGACTTTCCTACAGCACGTTGACCATGATATTCTACATCTCCGAGTCGACAAGCCGTCCGTCCCATGAAACCCTCGCAGGCTTCGGGCATGAAGCCGTTGGGACAGGCATGTGGGCTTCAGTGTGCAATTCCGTGTGCCAGGAGGGTGTGGTAGTACCAAAATTTGATTGCTAAGTGTTCCGAAGCAGGTTATTGTGCTTTGACTCCGAGATTTCTTACGAAATTGCGACGCAGCAGGGAGTAACTTGAATTGCATGGAACTTTGGGCAAGATTCTTACTTACGCATGGACTTACATTGTTAGAAGGAAAGGCGAGCATTTGCTGTGTTGTTGAACGGACTGGAACATAGGTCAACGAGGAAACGTCAAAGCTAGTCTCATTAAAGCGATCGGCCGATCACTTGCCGTCTAGATATCACCGGTGGCTATTCCTGGTGTTTGTCTAGTTTGTGATTGAGTGAGAGAGAGAGAGATCTTACATAAACCGCTCCGCAACTGTCGGGGGCGCTGATGCATATGTATATGTATATGTATATATGTATGTATATACATATATATACACATGTATGTGTTTATATATATATATATACATATATATGTATGTACGTATATACATACATATATATATATATGT